ACACACACAGTTACACACACATATGCTGGCTCGGTTGTGCTTCCGTTTTGACCAAGCTTAATTTCCTGGCAGGCAGCACATGGCGTATGTGTAATCAACTATATTGAAGCAGGCTCACCTCTCCTCTCCTCTCTCTCTCTCTTTCCACTCTTTCTATCTCTGTCTCTCTCTCACTGTTTCTCTTTATTTTGCTTTTACTCCCTCCTCTTTTCAGGGTCTCCTTCTTCTGCTTAATCACTGTAACTGCCATTTTTCATCAAAGTAATTACGCGAGACCGTCGCCAGTTTCCCTCTCTTTGCTTGCAGCTCAACTTCAACACACACACACACACACACATGCTGCCTTCCCTTGGCAGCCACGCCTCTGAGACAGCGCCGTCTGTGTTGTCCTGCAAATTAAATCATTTGATATCCATTCAAATTTTATTCGCCATTTAATTTGACAGCTCATCAAGAACAAACAGCAAATTTGACCCATATAGACGGCTCTCAAAATAATATATGATTTTTTTTTCAAGTGTCTGTCTACCTGTCTCTCTCGATTCTTATCTTAGCTATTCCAAATTTGTTGTACAAGTTTACCTTTGGCAGAAAGTTTTATGAGTTTCAAGTGCCACAAATCCAAATATTTTCATTAATGCCCAAAAGCACGCTTCAAATCAACTCATAACAGATTGGTGGAGATGATATAATGAAGTTGTGTAAAGTGTGTGAAAGGCAAAAGGAAGCATCTCGCACTTGGTAAACTACATAAATACATAATTTAATTGCTGTAGCCTTCCATTTGATATACCACACAATATACCTAGCCAGATTATTGATCGATAGTATAATTTTTATTATGATGCGTTCTGCAGAAACACAGATTTTGTTAACCAAAACAAATTATGAACTGCAAGTCTGCATTATATTTGAAAGCTGGGTTCTGCGTATCTGCTATTCTAATCTAAACAAGACAGCTCTACATTTTCTAAGTCTGTCTGTCTAAGTCTTAAGTATGTTGGCCAAAATTGCGTTTTAAATCAATTTCTTCACATTCTCCTCAGCTTTTTTTATGCTGTTAAAAAAGTTAAATTATAGTTGGTAGATTTTGAGCTTGAGCTTTTAACTTTTTAAAAATTATTTCTTTGTATTATGTTTATTTATTTTTTCCTTACTTCTCGTGTGTTGTAAATTTGAACTTGTTTTATTATATTCATATTTTTTCCTTATTTTTTCATAACTTGGCACTTTTTGGGCACTTTTCCTTTGTTGCCTACTTTTGTGCGCAGTTTGCAGTTTTTTAGCCCTAAAAAGTTGCCTTTATTTTTTATTTTTTATAAAATTTATGAGTCTCAGCATTTTGTAAATTAATATTGCAAATATATATAAATATATATGTATATTGGAAAGGGGTGTGGCACAGGTGAGCTCTCTCTCTCTCGCTCTCTCTCTCTCTCTCTCTCTGTTTTTTATGCCATTGATTTGTTTGTCTGTTGCAACAAAACTGAGGCACATGCCTCTGCTGCCCCAAGCTCCCCTTTAGGCTTTAACGAGCCAAAAGTTCCGTTTGGTTTTGCGCAGCCGATTGCCGATTGCCAAACACACAAATTTTGGATGCCACGCCCTTAAAGTGAGCACTGCCCCATGCCCCACGCCCCACGCCCCATTTTGCAAGTGGTGCCAAGGTGGCTGCTTGTTTTTGGCCTCGCTCTGCAACGTTGTGGTTTGGCTTTGCCAATTGGCGTAGGCCGTGGCAAAAACCCGTTTAGCTGACTGACCCTGCCACTGCCCTTCCCGGCCAACCCCCGCCTACCGTTTTGGGTTTGCCACTGGGCTGCCTGCCAGCTGCCACTGCAAGGTTTCCCTCTGTGTGTGTGTTGCATGCATAACCCAAAATACAATGCTAGCTTTGCTGCTTCTTCTTCTGCTTCTCTCTTTTTATGGCCTGTAGTTTTTGGCTCGCTGGCCTCTCGTCATAATTTTTAAGTGACCCAAGAGCGCCCCAGCCGCATGTGGCCGCCGCAAGTCTGTGTGTTGCAAGCACTGCTGGACACACACACACATAGGTATATCTACTGCTAAATGAAATATGGCGCATAATTTGTTTTGCTGCTGCTGCGCAATCAGAAAAGAAAACTATTTAAACTTTTTACCTGCTTTCCGAATTTTTCTCCCTCAATATCTCATTCTCTCTGTCTCTCTCTTTGCTATCATGATTATATTTTTATATATATATTATTTAATTGAGTCTGTTTGTTCCAAGTCTGCCTAAAGAATAATGCAGCTGAAATCAGGTCTGTTGTTCATGTCCTTAAAGCCCAATCTTGTTTTGAGATTGTCGGTCTTCAATTGTGGCTAATATTTGTATGTTAAGCTTTGCTACCTTGGAATGTAAATTTCTTGTATCAAGATACACACTTTTGATTTTAGAATTCTTTTTATTTGCACTTTGCTACCTTTTAGCAATCGCTTTGACACCCTTCCGCTAGCTCTGCTTTATCTCGTCCGCATAATCAGTCCTCTTTTCTTTATAGCTTATCTTATCCCACTTCATTCACCCCTTTTGCTACCCCTTTCACTACCTTTTCCTAATCCCGTCGTTTTTCCCCATTCTCCACAACTTCTCTACCCATTCACAGGCTCTGCTTCACTTCCGCTTCACCCACTTATCCTTAAATAACTGACGCCTACTGATTTCCTGTGTGCGCCGCGGGTGTCCAAATTTTCAAAGCCTTTTCACAGCTGGCGTTTTTTTGAGTTTTCCCCCCACTCGCTCGCTATTCCCCCCTCGCCCCTTGATTAACTTCTCGAATTGCTTGTCAGCTCGGCGAAGAGTTCAAAGTTGAGGGCAATTAACATTTGTTGCCCTGAGGCGGCGACGGCGTCGTCAACTGTTTATTAATATCGTGTTGTTGTTGCTGTTGCTGTTGCTGTTGCTGGGGCAACAAGTCAATTAGCTACTCGAGCAATTCAAATACAGCTTCTGGCTTCAACTTAAAGTCAATAATTCTCAATTCATATTTTGGTGTAGCTCTCTCTCTCTCTCTCTCTGCTTAAGTTGCACACCAAATTTGTTGTGGCAAAAGAAATTTGCGACAGCTGTCGCACTTCTTTTTGTTGCACAACATACAAAGGGATACTTGCAAACAACAAATAAACAAAAAGAATGAAGAAGAAATAACAACGGCAGACATTTCAGACCAGACACATGTAGTTGGGGGCACATTGTTGTCCTGCTACTGCTGCTGCTGCTGCTGCTGTTGTTGCAAGCAAGCACAAAATGCAACGCTGTGCTTAACAACTCGACGCATAGACAATGCGACAGCTTCTGCCTTCTCCTCATCTCGTCTTCAAATGCTCTTCTTCTTCAGCTTCTTCTTTTAGTGTCTGTCCTGCTGTCCAATACAAATGCACACCCAAGTGGTGCATGCCACAAGAGCGATACTACTAGATACTAGATACTACAACCAGCCAAAAACTTTCTTTGTAGTAGGCGTCGTCGTGCGGTCTTAGTTTTTGTGTTGTCCATGCGGTTGTTGATACCCTGTAATTTTAATTGTACAGGGTATAAGAGTGACGCACTTTGGCCGTTGGTTCTCATTGTTAAGAATATAATATTTGGTTAACAAACCGAATTCCTATTTCGGTCGGGCATGGAAGGTGTAAAAATTCCGGTGAGTTTTTTTTTATATTAATTTTATTTATTATTTATTGTATTAATATACACATATTTTTAGACAGCATTTACTTAAAGATGTGTCTTATGAGTATGTTAAAACTTCATACAGAATAAGTCTTAGTCAAGCACTGTCTCTATCTCTCTCTGTCTCTCTCTCTCTCTCTCTCTCTTTCTACAGTGCCTTTACTTTGTTCGTCCTTTGTATTGTTTTGTCTGATTTTGCTTTGCAGTTAGCTGTGCATTTGCAAGTTGTAGTTTTTGTAGTAGTTGTCTAACCCGTTATCGTTTCCCTGCTCCGCAAATGCATGTAGTTTTTATAGACTCTCTGCACTTGTCGCAGTCCATTGTCTTGACACATGCAGAGTGAGACAGAGAATGAGTGAGAGATAGAGAGAGAGAAAGGGGGAGACTTCTATCTCAGTCGAGACGGAGACAACTTGCTTAGTGCTGTGACGTCTGCTGCTGCTGATGCTCCTTTTAGTTACTGTTTTCATGGTCCAACTGTGTTTGTGTGCAACCCCTCGCCCCCTCAGCTCCCTTCTCCCATTCGCCCCCTCTTGTTCCTTTGTCTGTGGCAGGTGTTTCCTTTTTGTGTAGTTTGAACAATGCGCATAAGAAAACATTACCTTTAAATCCACAAAAATAGTAGACGAAAAAGTTTTTCTCTTCGTGTGATTGTTTTTTAGTTTTCTCTTTTTTCGTTGCGTTTTAATTTTAAGCATATTATGAAACTTAAATGCGATGTAATTTGCTTGGTTACTCTAAGGCGGAGGACTTAGCCAGCTTAGTGGCTTAGCGAGTATCTCTTATGAGGGTTTCTTCTTCAGCTCCTTATTCTCCTCTTTCTACTTCTCTGATTGCGGTTGACAGCTGGACGAGAGACAAGGCTGAGGAGGCAGAGGCGCTGGTGTGTCTCTGACAGTTGAAAGTGGGCAATATGAAGTTGCGCCTTTAAAGAGCACCAATGTCATTGTCCTAGAGCTGCCAGAGCTGTTATTTTTTCTCGTTAGCTTTAAAGTGATAGAGATGATAGTGAAATGCTAATGAGATACCCTGTACTTAAGGTGCGTGCATTTATGAATTTAACATAAGCGGCCTAGCTAGCTGGAGTACATTGAAATATGCATTGAAAATTCCCATAAATGGGAAAACATTTTGGGAATCTGGTGGGCAAAATCCTATGATGATAAATATTTGATGTAGGTCTGACAAATAACAAAGGTCTCTAATCTACCTGCTGCATTAGATTTCTAGCTTTGTGTGTTTACTAAATGAATTAAAATATAAATAAATATTAAATACTAAATTAATAAATTAACATTTCATTTTCCTATTGCAGCGACCTCATGGAACTCGGAGACCACAAACGCAAGAGCCACAAAATTTTGGTATGTAGACTATAATATACTTTATAAATATATATATATAAGTACAAGTGTTGATCTAGCTTTTTAATCTGATTACCTTATTGCGACTTGGATCCATTACCATAATTAAGGGGTATCTAATGTTTGTATACTCATTATTAGAAGCTGCAGCTTCTGCTGCTGCTGCGTTGCATGCCACACGCTTGACGTATATGACGTTGCATGCATGTTGACAGCTCGCCTGCAGGGCAACTGCTGTTGCTCCTGCTCCAGCTCCTTCACAGTCATTTCTCACCAGAAGCAACGCATTAATTGCTTGCGGTTTGCTGCTGTGTGCAGCATGAGAAGTTGCCACATCCTTTGGCTCCTGTCTCTTGTCTCCTGCCTGCTGTCTCCCTGTTTAGACCTCTAATGAGGTCATTGCTTGACAATCGCATTTGCCATGCAACATTTGCTGCGTTGGCGTCGCTTCTGATTTGTTGCATGCCCCATGTTGCACAGCAGCAGCAGTAGCAGCAGCAGCGTCATTCATGTCGCGTTGTTGTCAGTTCGCCAGCATCATTCGTTGTCATTCGGCCGTTTTTCATTCTGCATTGCGCGTTGCTTTCATTTCCGTTTCCTGTGAGCAGATCCTGGTGCTCCTTCCTCCTCCTCCTCCTTCTCCTCCTGCTTCATTGCGGTTGTCATTAGGCGCAACGCCCCCGATGCACCCCGTCCACTCAGCACCTATCTAGTCGCTATATTTCATTTGATTTTAGTTCATTTTAAATGTCTTTCCGTCTTTTGTTTTATGCTGCTTCGGCATCTTTGCTGCCTGCCGCTGCGTCGCTTCCATTAATTTCCACAGGCGACGCTGACTTTCTGTGTCAGGGGAGGAGGGATTTGTGGGTGGTTGGGTTGGTTTATTCGCCGCTTCGACATAATTTATGCGACAAGGCGTGCTAGAGATAAATTTCTGTCGTTTGGCCATTTTTCGCTTGCGTTTGTATTCGCTCTAAATAAATTAGAGGCAGCGGGGAAAAAACAACACCAGGCACAGCAGCAGCAGCCGTCTCTAAATGAAGCTCCGAAAACTATTGCAGGATTTTGTCTGTCTCAGTCACCTCTCCCGCCGCCACCGCCCTGCCACTCTCCACTCCACTTCCGCCATGCCGCCTGTTGATTAATGCGCGCTGTTAATTGCAGTGGGCCAAACAATTTTTGGCCAACCACAAAATGGCAAATAGAAAATGGCACAGAAGACTGCAAAAGTAAGCTTTAAGTAATTAAAAATTTAGCACTCGCCTCGACTAAGTGAAAATGAATGAAATAAAATGTTTAATGTGTAAATGTTTAATCTAGCTAATCAAACCATAATTAAAATGTCCTCGGGAATCAAATTCAGTTCAGTTTTGAGCTTGCCACATGTAATTCTTGTGACTTGACTTGAACAATAAACCATTGCTGATAAAAATCGTTTTAGTTTTATAAAAGTTGGACTTGGAAATTTCCTTGCATGCGAAAAATTATAGGAATTGAATTCACAAACAGCTCGCTGATTAAAATTAGTAACTCAAATTTGCATCTAGAAGAAAATCTACTGGGCGTATGTGTAATGCTCAGCAATATAGGCAACTATGGCTTACAGCGCGTATGAGTAATGTGGGCCTTAAAAGCGAAGCTGAGTTTTGCGCGCAACTGCTGCATATGAAATGCGGTTGCTGTTGCGTGCGTGTGTGTGTGTTGGTGTGTGTGCCTTGTAAATTAGTGCGCTCATGCAACACACTCACAGCTGGGCGGCAGACAGCGTATGCCACTTAGCCCAAACTCCAGCTCGAGTTCTTGTTTCGCATTTCTGCAACTCTCTTTCTCTCGCTCTCTCTGTGACATGTCTCATGTAAAATAGCATTTTCGTGCGTTTGTTAATTAAAAGTGTAGCAACGAGTCAGTGAGAGGGGGATAGGGGATTGGGCGGGGGGGAGGTGTCACTGAAAGAGGGTGCAATGCCACAGTTGATGCCACACACACACACATACTCACTGCGACGATGCGTTTCCAACGAGGTAAACCATAAATAATGTATGAAATTAACAACGGCAGCTACAACTCAAGAGCGTGACACTATTGCGTGTGTGTGTGTGATGGGTGTGTGTGTGATGTGTGTGTGATGTGTGTGTGATGTGTGTGTGTGATGTGTGTGTGTGTGGAGTGTGTGTGTGTCCCATGTACGTGGTGTGTGTTGACTCATCCTTTAGTTGCTTTACGAGCGCATTGCGCTTGTAAAAATTCCTTATTTTATTTCTCTTTTTTTTATATTTTTATGATTTAGCTAGAGTAGAAAATGACCCAGACAGTGATATTTCCACACGTCCTTTATTTTTTCATTTCTGTTTTTGTACATGTAATTTGAGTTATGGCGCCATAACTTATGAATATGCTGAATTTTACAGATTTATGCAAATGTAAAACTAAAATGACAATTTATGCACATCAGAAACACACAGAAAACGCAGTAGAAAAACAGTAGAAAAACAGTAGAGCCAAGTTTTCTCATTTATAATCTCGATTGAAAAGAGTTGAAGGCTTATGTTAGACATATTTTAGAAAGCCATATGCAAGTTTTCTATGAAGCAGAGAATTTAGATTTACTTTCAAGCAGGGTGTGTCAAAAGAATTTGTATTTTATTTCCGCTTCCGTAAAGATTATAAATTGATTTAAAATTTGATTTAATATTTGGGTTAATTTCTGTTTCTGAATTTCAGTCAACTGCAGTTCTCGTTGTGGTTTGAAACTTAACTTAAATCCTTTGAGATTTGTATGATAATACTTAATATTTGACTATTATGCTGTTTTGATTAAACTTAAAATCAGTTAGCTAAATTTGGCTTAGTTTTCTTCTAGAGTGATTCACATATATTGAGAAATTATTAGGCCACGTGTAGAACGTTTTCTAAGTGCGTTTTTATTGGCTTACCTCCAAAAATAAGCCAATTTAAATGTGAAACCAATGAGAATGGGAACGCATATAAGTGGCTACGATGATGGCAACCCTAAGACCCGGTTTAAGTTCTTCGCATTGCGCCTGCAATCCATACAAATTGGGAATTAAGTTAATAGCCGCTCACGTAGCTGGCTGGCTTTAACGTCATTTGAATAGCGTCGTTTTAAGTGGCCATAAAAGTGTTGTTCGTGCGTATTTCGACATTTTTTCTCTTCTTTTTCGTGTAGATATTAAACTCAAAGAGAATAATCACTCACCCCATTTGCCCATTACCCATTACCCATTACCCAATCCCCCCGTTGACTTTGCCAGCCCCTTTGTGCCGCCTTTCTGTGCACTTCCGCTTGAATGCGGGGCAAACAAAGCGCATAAGCGACGCATTGAGTTATCAAAAGAAATTGCTGGCAAACGTTGCATGCCCTTGTGTGTGTGTGGGGGTGTGTGAGGGTGTGTGGCACATCGCCCACCCCTTCTATTATGGCGACCAAGCTCAGTGACAGGGCGTCAGAGCAGACACATTATTTATGGGGCGCAATTACTCACAGTTAGAGCGTTTGAGTTTTGTGGGGCGGTGGGGACTGCCCCAAAAAGTAAGAAGAAGAAGCAGCAGCAGAAGCAGCAGCAGTAGCAGCGCAGCAGGACGATGAAGAATTGCTGCATACGCGCACATATATATAAAATTTACTTATTTATATATATTTGCTCAGTTGTAACTCACAGATTGCAATTGGCGCAACTGCAATTTAGATATAAAAGCCGAGATACGACCAAATGTTGGCTCAAGCATGCCAGCATTGCTGACAATAATTTACGAACGCAAACATAAATGCATTTATCTAGCTGAAAGTTGGCTGAGCTGAGCAGTAACACAGCAATTAACATGCTCGGCACAAGAGAGGCAGGCGTAGAGGAGGAGTACAAGTGGGCGTGGCACTCTGGTCAGCTGTGGCAGTTGCTTATCTACGCCTCGCTGCATTTTCATAATAAACAAATTTTGGGTAGCAAACTTCGACTACATTTGCCGCAAGAAGAAACCGAAGCAGAGCAAGAAGAAGAAGAAGAAGAAGCAGCAACAGCATTGCTGTGGTTCGGCTGCCAGCCCTTTTTGGGTCTGGGCCCCTCTGCCCCTCTGCCCCCCGCCCACAACCAAAAAAACTAATGTGCGTTGCACCGGAAGACATTGCTGGCAGGCACATTAAGCATTTCATATGACCTGCCCCCTTTTTACAGTTGACCAAGCATAGCAATTATTTATCTCTTGTTTTTATTTCTCCTGCTGTGCTTTTAAAAAGAAGAGCAACTCTTTCATTCTTTTGGCACGCACTTGATAAGCAACTTAATTGTGTGTGGAGAGTGCGAAGAATTTTATTGAATTTCATTGCAATTCCTTTCATGTTTACGCTTGTTGTTAAAAATACATGGAATTTTCGAAGTTGCCACAAGGATCCTCGGCAGCTCTTAAAGAAATCCCAATATATGTTAAGGATTAGAACAACATTTATTGACTTTCAGTTGAATGGGTTTCATGGTTATGCTTGTAATTAAAGGCACATGGAATTTATGAAGTTGCCACAAGAACTACAACTACTTACAAGCTGAAATATATGAAAAAATCACAACCAACAATTTAAATCCACTAATAATTAGAACAATTTGAAGAAATTCTGTTTGATCACAAGAATTTTTGGGCAACAATTTCTTCAATACAATTAAAGCCCAAGAAAAATAGTTCAACAACGTATTGTTTTCTTGATTTTTGTGCCTAGCTAGGCAAAAACGTGCCACAGAACACGGGAAATGGGGCATGGGCTTGGGGCATGGGGCACGGGCCAGCTGCTTGTGCTATGCATTTTATAGTATTATAGCGAGACAAAAGGCCAAAAACGCAAAGGCGCAGTTTGTGTGGCCGCACGTCCTTTCTTATCGTCCTTTTTGGTTTTCTTTTTTGTTTTGTTTGTTGCTTTTTTGCTTTTGGCCACACGACACGTCGCATTGTGACTTTGGCCCCAAGTAGTTTTCATTGTTTTGCCCGGCTGGCTG